CCCGCCCCAGTAAATTCCACTCGTACTCTCTCTCTCTCTCTCTCTCTCTCTCTCCACCAGCATCCTGAAACCATGAGGAGGGAGAAAATTTCAGAGAACCTGACACCAGGACTTGTCAGAGCCAGTGGTACCATCCTCTGGGACATTGCAGCCAGTATACTGCCAGTTGAAGAGCAGACGCTTCACGTCTGAATCCCACGGGCTCGTCAGCAGAGTTGCTCTGTCCAAGAAATCACAGGAAACACTTCTTTCATTTGGTGATCACGGGGGGCACGCAACCCGTGCCGCTGGCCCGGCGGAAACATCCAGGAGGCACGCAGTGTTGGTCCGTCTGGGAGTGGAAAGCTATGAAACACAGACCTGAAGAAATTGAAACAAGCTTCGCCCTTTTTTTTGTTTTCCTTTTTTCAGTTATCAAATTTGGTGTTTTGTTATTCCTAGTTGTTACAAAACACAAAGGGTATATCGCCCAGGCAAACTTGAGAATCGAAATTAAGCCAATACGAAAGTTTTGGGGGCTCGGGGCGATGGGACCACAATGACTGGCGGGACCAGCCTAAAAGGAGAAAGAATTGCACTCAACGTGCACTCAGAATAGACTTTGAAAGCTCGTAACAGACACTACCCGCCAGACCCAGGATTAAGTCAACATGAGAACCCTCAGCGCCTAGAGATAGCTACACGCCAACCAAGACATAAGACACAGGATTAACATAGATCCAGGACAGGCAAGACCCAAGGAAAATAACTAGAATAGTGTAAACAGTTCAATATTGGAAAGGACAGATAGGAACACCCATAGGAAGGGAGAAAAAGGCTAGATAAACCTAAGTTTCCACCAAAGACACGTCGCCATGATGACAAGACGTAGAAGTACATAGAATCTGAGCAAAGGACCCGAACGACAGCTCTAGCAACTAATGAAAACCCGACAGCCAAGAAGCTGAGAGGAGTAGGTTGGACCCTCCTCCAGGAGGTAATCAATGTCGTCCTTTGGGCCTCCGCATCATAAGGGGGAGGAGCGTGAGTAAGTTCTCCTTGTAACCTATTTCAGACTTGCCAGTGGAATACGAACCGGACTGATTCTCCCCAGAATGGAAAAGCAGCCAGAACTCTAAGGTTCTGATTTTATTAAAAAAAAAAAAAAAAAAAAAAGAGAAAGAATAATAAGAATTGCACTGCTGCTGCTTCAGCAAAGCTTGGCACGCAGTGTGAATCTGCCAGAGAAAAAAGAGGCTCGGGATGTCCTGAACATTTGAATTGGTAAATATTAAAACAATGGTGAACAAAAGTGAAAACGCCGAGAAGTAGAAAAGACCTCAAAACTCAAAACATAATTAAAAAATAGTTGGAAAAAAAAACACAAAAAAACAAATAGGAAACAANAGAATAATAAGAATTGCACTGCTGCTGCTTCAGCAAAGCTTGGCACGCAGTGTGAATCTGCCAGGGTAAAAAGAGGCTCGGGATGTCCTGGTCCTTTGAAGTTGTAAATATTAAAACAATGGTGAAAAATAGTGAAAACGCCGAGAAGTAGAAAAGACCTCAAAACTCAAAACATAATTAAAAAATAGTTGGAAAAAAAAACACAAAAAAACAAATAGGAAACAAAGTTGACAGCCTGACAGGTAGTATCTAAGGTAATATTATCTTTGTTTAGATATTACAATGCTAAAAAAAAGACCAAAGCGGGAAATTTTTTCAAAACATGTGAAGTTGTGAGCGAAGTAACAAAATATTTAAAAAATATAGCAAAAAAATAGAAAAAAAAAAAAAAAAAGAAAACAAAAGCAAATCTACCAAGGCTACCAGCCGGGCCGCCCGGGTCACCCTATTTTCCCGGACGGCCCAGCCGTGCAAGGACCAGGGGGTCCTAGCAAAAAAAAAAAATCAAAAAAAAAATCCAAAAAACAAAATCACAGAAATCCGAAAAAAAAGCTATGTTATGCAGAAAAATAAACTGAACAACTTTTGCCTCAGTGTCACATCGATATTCTTTACCATATTTAAAATAAAAAATAAAGTTGAAAAATAATTTATTTATTTATTTTTTTGGCCCGGCCAGGCAGGTGGCCCCGGGCCACTCTGGTAGCCTAGAAATCCACAGTAAAACACAGCAAACACACTGTGAAAAAAATAGTAAAATGCAGAGAAAATTACCAGTACCATGACCCCTGTGAAAGTCTGAGGGAGACTGAGGCACTTAGGCCTCGGTGGCCTTAAGAAGGCCACAGTACCCTCCACCAGGGTGGGCCCTAAGGGAAGGCCACAACCCAGGTGCACACCCGCTAGGACCTGAGAAGGGGCACGCACCTGGGCCTGCGTACAGAGCAGTAGGGACTGCCTACCAGCAGTCCCAGAGCCCGGTCCCCTACAGCACGAACAAGAGAACGCAGATGGAGGCATTTGTAGGGACTTGGGCTGTGGGCAGTATTGAGCGGCAGTGCTGCCAAGAGCGCTACTCTGTGGCGGGAGAGAGCCAGCGTCCAGCCAGCAGAGCGGAATCACCATAGCCATCGCTGCTCCCACATGAGCTACGACACAGCAGTGCAGGGATGGCGGCAAGGAGAAACTGAGGTCCTTGGGAGAGGAGGAAGGCTGTGGGGAGGGAGAGGTGGATGCTTACCTGGTCTATGGCAGGAGAGCACATACGTAATCAGCCTCCGTGGCCGCACCTGGTGCAAGTGAGAGGACAGAGAGTGCCAGAGAGGAGGCTAGATGATAGGCTAGGCCAGGAAAGTAGTGTAGGTGGTTGCATCATACTTACGGCTCCGTCTACTCCATCTGTACTGATCGGTGGAGGCGAGAAGTGGGCTTTCTTTTTTTTTTTTTTTTTTTTAACAAAGGTCCATGTCGAGAAGTGGGCTTTCATTCATCAAGAGACTTGAAAGTTCAGTGTGGTCATACTTAGGTAGGATCTCGGCCTTGTCCATTTGGCATTTTTTTCTTTCTTCCTTTTTTTTCGTTTTTTTTTCAATTCTGCTTTCAGGTTGGTCTACCGATGCATCGTCTTCAATGAGTTCTGTGCAGTGAGGCAGTAGGAGTCAAAAGAAGTCGGACTGCAATCTTTGAGTTCGGACAGAATCAGACTTGAGTCTTTTTAATCTACTCTTATCTCAAAAATTCGATGTGTCAATTGCATCTATCATTTACTTTCACTCCTACTACTACTACTACTACTACTACTACTACTACTACTACTACTACTACTACTACTACTGTCATGTCGAATACTTAAACATACCCCTGTTACAGGAGGGGGAAAAAAAATAAAAATAAAAAATCATACCTGCTTCCATTTCCCAGCAGCTTCAAATGCACTGATCAGGGTATTGAATGTTACTACATCTGGAGTGAGCTCATCTTCTCTGATCCATTCGAATGCCTGCATTGCGGCTCCCGATTCTCCGGCAACAGTGCAAGCGTGGATAAGCATGTTGTATGTTTGTACCGATACCTTTCACAATTGCACACACACACACACACACACACACACACACACACACGAGGCAACTATGGCCGTGTCAAGTCTCAGTTTCGTATAGGCAAAAAGGAAAACACAACTATCAGTCAGTCACATGCCTACTGCAAGGAATATGAGCAAGAGTGATATACAGAAAACCAAGTTGCGAAATCACACAGACGTCCAAGTAGTCATGTGCGAGCAAAGAGTGCAAATGCACCGAGATTCCATCCAGATAAGAGCAATACAACGAACTCACGAGCCAATGTCCAAGCCCTCAGGCCACACCAACACCGTATCCAATGTCGCTCCTACTCTGTCTGGTGCCCAGCGCCCAGCCTACACTACTCGCCTATCCTACTACACCAGCATTCACGCAACGGGCTCACTTCGACCTTGAAGACCAATGTACATGACGTCAACACCATAGTTGACCTCCCTCATGCACCAGGTATGTATCTCGTCTCTACTCATGACCCCTGACTTCCCACAGTGTGCATTCTCAACACCCAAAGACCACCATCGCCATCCAGACCTGCGCCCAACAGCCCGGCTATGGCTGCCGTGCGCCCACTGCCCAGCAGTGCACCTCACACCTCAGCGCCCGTGTGCGCGACCCAGCCGGCAGCTTCGTGCAGACCACGAAGGTGCAACGCAGCAGCGTGGCCGTATTGCCTGCCTAGGCCAGAATGACTTCCCCAGGGATGCTCACTTTCCTATATGGAAAGTGAGCTCAGCTTCTGCTGCCTCTGGGCCTGGCTGGGCCAGCATCCAGTAGTTTCCAGTCGGGCCTCAATGCCTGCGTCCAGGCCCAGTCGCAGTTACAGGCCTGGGCCCTTTACAGTTGGGCACGCCCAGGCAGTCCATGGGCCTCCACATGTTGGCTGTGATCTCATTGGCTCACGGCCACTTTGTGCCAACAATGCTGCAATCTCATTGGTCCGTGGCTGTTGTATGATGTGTCGGCCTCTGAAAACACACGCCCAGGGCCTTAACTGTACGGGGCCCTGGGCTCAACTGCCCGTCGAGGCTGCAACTTCCAGACAGAGCCTGAGAAGCTCACGTTGCTCTGTAACCAATTGGCATGCTGCAACTGTCTTATACCCACATATGGAAAAATGTCAAATCTTCGCCTCTTGTGAATATTCAGGCCCACCTTCACTTAGGACGGGCACAGGGCTTGCTGAGGGCCTCTGCCCAGGATCACACTGGCCTGTACCCAGGCCTTGGCACATATTGGCAGGCCCGCCTTCACTTAGGGCGGGCAAGGCCTTTCCCAGCACTGCCGAGGGGTCAAATCCTCGCACTACTTTGAAAAGGCAATAAAACAGATGCGGTGGTTTCTATCAAGCGCTTTCATCGTAAAAAGGAAAAAAATGACAGATGTGGTGGTTTCTATCAAGCGCTTTCATGGTAAAAAGGAAAAAATGGGCCCTCCAGGCCCTGTGTCGTTTCAGCCTAAAAGCCTAAAAAGGAGGGCCATTTTCAGGCCCTCATAAAGCCGACCTGTCCTGAAACTTAGGCGCCAGACCAGGGTTAAGCGCAGGCCATTTCTAGGCCCGTTTCAAGACAACCTTTGTTTGAGCTTCAACGCCAGGGTCTGGCACGATTCGGCATGGGCAAGAGCAGCCTCCCAGCCGGACCAGCACTATATAGTACTGGTCCGCCCTGCAGGCTGCAGGCAGTTCACAGGCCCTTCACGGGCAGTGCAGGGGGCAGTCTTCAGGATTCGGCCGCAGCACTCTGCAGGAGTGCTGCAGTAGTTGTAGCTAGCGCTAGGAGTAGTCTTCAACGCTGGGCGCTGTACAGTAGTAGCAGCTAGCGCTAGGAGTAGTCTTCAGCGCTGGGCACTGTTAGGAGCTTAGAGTAGCGTTGGAGAGAGAGGGAGAGAGAGTTGGCGGAGGCCAGGGAGACTTACCTGTGGCGCCATAGCTCCCAGCTTCGTCTTCGATGTACCTGCAACAAGGCGCCACCTTCACAGGTTAGTACTGGGCACAAGAGAGAGGAGAGAGAGTTCTTCTTCTTCCTCCTCTAAGTCCACCATCTCTCCCTCACCATCTCGGTACCTGACTTCTCAACACCTAAAGACAATGGGAAAGAGAGAGATTTGCGACTCTGAGATTTGACGACATTGGATTCAGACTCAACATTGGGACCGAGACATTGCCAGAGCACGTTCCCGCATATAGTGAAATTTTGGGACGAGGGATTATCTGGGGTCTATATTGAAGACTTGGTGTTGACGACATTCCCATCTTCCCCCTCTTCTTCGTCTGATTCCCCTCCTGCTCGTCTGTGTATGGTTTGGGACTGGCGCATTCTTCCTGTGTGAGCGCCAGGCCCCTTCACACCTTGCAATGATGATGATGTATGTTTGGTCTGCATTGCGACATTGATTGGTCTAATCATTGGTATTCTAGCCTTCCGCTGCGCTATCCTGTACTATGTGTGTGTGTGAGTGTGTGTGTGTGTGTGTGGGAGAGAGATAGATAGATAGATAGAGAGAGAGAGAGAGAGAGAGAGAGAGAGAGAGAGAGAGAGAGAGAGAGAGAGAGAGAGAGAAAGACAGCCTCTCCACGATAATCCCATCGCCCCCCGCCTCCTCGCTCCACCACCTTCCCCCACGATCGCCTCCTCCCTCCATCACCTTCTTCCACTATCACCTTCCTCCATCATGTCTCGCCCCACTCCCACCTCCTCCCTCCACCATCGCCTTCCAAGTTCACACCTCCATCGCCCTTCTCCCTCCAACCTCCATCGCCCTTCTCCCTCCTCCCTCCTCCCCCATCCCCCCATCGGGTCTCACCCTCCTCGCACCTCCTCCCACCTCCTCCCACCTCCTCCCACCTCCTCATCACCCCTAGCCCCCAGGCCTCTTCCTCGCCCCCCCCCACCTGGCCTACCCCAGCCCCACCCCCAAAACCTGAGAGGAGCAGGAAAATAGAAGTCCCTGGCATCTGGCACATCCCCTCTTCGTCTTCGTCTTCTTCTTCGCCTTCTTCTTCATCTTCTTCTTCTTCTTCGTCGTCGTCTTCTTTGTGCCAGATGCCAGGGACTTCTATTTTCCTGCTCCTCTCAGGACTTCTATTTACAGCGTGGAATCGAAGGTACCGGCTTGGCTTGCTGTTTGTGTTCGTAATGTGCGAGAACATTGGGGGCTGTAGCCTGAAGTTCCACATGGGTCAACCAATGGTCAGCCTTGTGGCTGCAATAGGAGAAGTGTACTAAGTACTCTGTCGGCTTGTTGCCGTAGCGCCGCTGCGAAATGATATTGCAAGGAAGATGAGCAATAGCGAACTTCAGCAATCAAACAACATCATACACATAAGACCAGATAGTCGTGACCTCGAACCAATAGCAGAATT